CAACCCAGCACTACCCTATTTCGTTCCTTACTTCCTTTTTTTGCATCCTGAGTGTTGAATGAACACAAGGCCACACACATTCTGTTGCTGGGCACCTGGGAGCTACTTAGCCTCCCCAAGTTCAGTTTCCACATCTATAACATGGAGTAGGTAAAGCCAACCCAAAGACTGGTGTAGGAATTATGTGAGGTAACATGGAAAAAGACCTGGCCTAGCCATAAAGGTTGGGTGAATCCGAATGTTGGCCTCAGCACTCCCCTGTTCCTATTCTCAGCAGTCCTTGTCATGTCTGGGTCTGCCTTGCTGAGTCTTCCTCTGATTTCCCTTCCCTCCATCTTACCCTGGTACCTGTCCAGCCCCATCACTGTCCCCTCAGGACTCTGACAACACATATTGTTCGTTGCTTCCCTGATCCCTTTCCTCTTTGCCTACTCTCTCCTGTAGACACTGAAAATGCCAATACTCTCTTTCCGGGCCTCCACCGCAGCTCCCTGCAAGGCCACCATTGCAAATTCTGGCTAGTGACATGCAAGGAGAGTCTCCTGGGGGACTTGTAGAAAAGTCCAGAAGGAGGCTCCCGAGGAGAACCCTTTCCCATTCAGCTTTTCCTCCCCATGTCAGACACTGACATGTGAGGAAGTCATGCTTAGTGTTGGTTCAGTCACCGTGTGGACGTAAGTAGGGGCGCTGCTGACATGCAGAGAGCAGCAAAACAGAGATGCAAGGGGCGTGTGTCCTAGACGACATCCCTGAGTGGCCAAGCAAGCCAGCCCCAGAACTTCTGTCTTCGGAGATCATGTCCTTAAATCTTTGGTTGGAGGTGTGTTACTTGCCACCGAGGACGTCATCATTAGGATAAGTCAGCTGTCTTATCCTACCTACCCTCTGAGCCCTCTATCCTGGCCTAAGAATTCCTTCCTATTAATCTCATGTTGATCCACAGAACACTGAGTTAGTGATCAAACAGAGGGGACCCCGCCCCTGGGGTGGGGATACCATAACACACTATCCCATTAACTATTCTGGACCTTCTTGTTGCTGCCACCACCCTTGTATTGAGCAAGAAGAACATTTTCCTAATAAATAAGGAATGGCCTTGGAAGTCAATTCCATAAACTTACTGAGTACCTACTGTGAATACTGATATTGGATATAAGAAAGAATAAAATTCAATCATTGCCCTTGAAAAGTTAAATTTTTATCACATGATTAATCACAACGCTGGACAAAATATGAACAGCGCCAGAGAGAGAGACAAACCAAAGTGTGGTCTGAACCCGGTCTTTGAACTGCCACCACTCACAATGATGTAAGGAGCTCATGCCCAACATAAATCAATTCATCACTAAGTTTATTGTTTAGTTGAGCTGATATTTTTTTGTAGCAAAGGTTTGTTGGTGGAGAAGGCAGTGGATTGATTTAACTTGGCACAAGTTCAGCCAAAGGCTGGCTATAGTTCAAGGAGTATTAAAGAGAAGTAAGGTCTTCATGGAAGAAAAAGGGACATGACAATGTACTTGGATGAGAAGGTAAGAGTTGAACAGAAAAGAATGGGCAGAGAGAAATGAAGCAGGTGCGTTGATAGAACAGTAAGTCTGATTCCAGTTAGCCCTAGAGTGGATGTGAGGAGAAATTGGAGGTGAGCCCAGAGAATGAATTGGAGTCGGAAGTGAGAGGTGTGGCACCACAGACTGGAAAGTCTGAATCTCTTTTGGTCTAAAATGGGAAGCCATTAAAGTTCTTTGAACAAATCAGAATATGTTGTAGGACAATTGATCAGATGTCAGAAATGAAAGCTTGTCCATAAAGAGGGAAGAATGAGAGGTAATAGCAGACCTGAACCAGGGAAGGATGCTTAGAAGATGTTGGAGGTGGGGTAAAGTAAGAGGTAGGGATCAAAAAGAACAATGCCAAGTTTCAAGGCCAGATCACAAGATAGTGTTTTTGCCTCTCACAGAAGTAGGAAGGTCTGGAGGAGTAGGTGCTTTTGTGGGGGTTTTCTACTGAGGCCTGGTGTGCAGGAATTAAGAATACACGTCTGGGCTGCGGTTGTGGCTCAGTGGGAGAGCACTTGCCTAGCACATGTGAGGCATGGGGTTTGATCCCCAGCACCACATAAAAATAAAATAAAGGTATGTGTCCATCTACAACTAAAAATAAAAAAGAATACATGTCTGGCAGGAGTGGGGTGTGGCACTGTGGAGGTGAGAATAGAGATCTGGGACTCAAACTCACATAGCTTGAGACCTGATACCACAATATACCATCAAGAGATGACATCCCTCAGGTGAGAAGTAGAGAAACAGGAGAGCCCAGGACCTAGGGAACTGCCTGCCTTCCGATGGTAGGTAGAAGAAGGAGGATGGAGCCAGAGAAAGCAGAGACTGGGGATGTCTCTGAGGAAGAACCTGAAGAATACGGTTCTGCAGACTCATGTGGAAGAGGACAATTCAAAGCAAATCTGGCTCATGGAGCTAAATGCTGCAAAGGGTTAGTGAAGATGAGGCTCTAGCAACTGGGAGCAGAGCTTCCCGAGGCCGGTTTCAGGGATGTGGGGGCACCAATCAGATTTCAGGATTAAGGAACAAGGGCTCAGTTTGGTGAAGGATGATGCAGCAGATCTGGGTGTCAGTCTCCTGAAGTCCACTGGTAAAAGTAGGAAAAGGGAGGGGTGGGGCTGAGAGGAGGTTTTATTAGAGTGGGAGCAGACCTAAGCAAAAGGGAAAGAGCTAGCAGAGCAGAAAGATCCAGAAGCAAGGTGAGTGCAGCTGGAGCTCAGCAAACAGGACCCCAAATATGTCTCTTAGACTTCTAACTGGGAGTACCTAGGAAGCAGCAAATGCAATAAGAGATTTCTCTGCAGTTGCCTTTCTGCCTAAAGACCGGACCACCAAAGAGGAACACAATTGCCTCCAATCTTCTTCTTGAAATTTCATTAGTTATATATATCAGAGGGAGAGATGGATAATTCAAATATCCCACCTAGAACCCAGAAGAACTTCAACTCAGGCCGCTGTCTGTACTCTGGGCTTATTCTCTCCCCTAAGAATCCTTTATTCTTCTTCTAAAATTGCCCACAGCCCAATGACCCTGTCCCCTCTCCTGCACAAAGAGGGTATTTAAGTCTCAAGTATCTGTGCTTTCTTTGCATTTCATATTTTGTGTGGCTCCCCCACACACGTGCATGTTAATAAATTTGTATGCCTTTTCTCCTGGTTATCTGTCTATTGCCCATTTATTTGCATTAGATTGTTATTGAACATTCGGAGGGCAGGTCTGAACTTTCCTGTAGTGCTGATCTCAAGGGCAGGGACACAGTGCCAGAAAGATCTGTGGTCTGGGAAATGGGAACAAAGGATGGCTGAAGGAAAGGAAAGATCATACAGTGCAGGCAAGGGCAGTGCGAAGAGCTCAGATATGCTCAGTGAAGTTATCTGTTATCAGCCTGAGGGGAGTTTAGCTGGGGTTGAAGTCGTTTTCAAAATTGGTTCACTGACTCGTCTAAGGTCAAACAAATGCAAAAATGTTAGCACTAAGATCAGAACCCAAGTCTTCCACCTGCCAAATTCAGTGATCATTCTGCCACATGGGAATTCTAAATTTTGTTATTCTAATAGGTACTTTTAAGTGTTTTCCTCAACTACCCTTGATTGAGCCATTCTATTTGGACAAGTAGCTAGAGTAGTCTACTTCAAAAAGTAGTCCAATGGCAATTTGAGACCACTAGGGAAGGGCTGGGTTGAGAGTTTAACTTTTCAAGTCTCTAAACTATTAAAAAGTCTCCAAAAATTAAGATTTTTTAAAAAAATTGTGAACCTGGGCTGGGGACATGGCTCAAGCCGTAGTGCGCTCACCTGGCATGCGTGGGGCGCTGGGTTCCATCCTCAGCACCATATAAATATAAAAATAAAGATGTTGTGTCCACCGAAAACTGAAAAATAAATATTAAAAAAATTCTCTCTCTCTTCTTTCTCTCTCTCTTAAAAAAAAAAAAATGTGACCCATGACAGCTTCTCTTTCCATTGTGAAAAGAGGCAAAGAACTCTGTAATGACCTGCTTCTTTCAACAAATCCTTTACTAAACTCTTCATGAAGTTTCCCACAATCAATTTGGGGCAAAATACAAAAGACAAGCTTCCTTCCCCCTTTGGATCTTCCCTTTTCCATAGTCCACTCTTTTCCTGAAGCTGTGTCCTCCTCCTGGTGACCTGGGAACCTCTTCTGGAAGAAGGTCAGTTAGCTCTTTTCCCAGAAGAACAGGCCTAAGAGTTCCTTAGGTTTCCAAGGCTTGGTGTCATGACCTGAGCTCACAGTAACCATTAGGTTACTTCTGTAACCTTAGTGGCTCAGATGAGTGCTGAAAATAGTGCACTAGAGCCCTGGGCAGGCTGGCTCCACTCCTTTTGAGTTAGCTTTAACAAATACTTGTGGGTAAATGGGCAGTTAGAGTCCATGCCAGGTTTGTTGACATGTTATGTGCTACAGGATGCTTAGCAGTGTCGCTACCTTCTAGATGCCTGTACCACGACCCTTCCTTTCACAGGTGTGACTAACCACCAGCAATGGCTTCAGACAGTACCAGATGGCTGGTGGTGGGACCGAGGGATGGGTTGCCCCCAATTGAAAAGCACTGCTGTGATCTAATGCAGTCAAGAACTAGACAAGAACCCCCCCCAAACAGGACAGTGTTCAGGTTGCCCTTGTAGAATCAAGACTTGTGCTCACAGGATAATTATATGTGAGAATCGGATGGGAAACACGTTTTGACTCTACTCTCTTCAATTCACCAACATGACAGTGGTAGGAATGCTGTACTGCCAGTTAGTGTGCACTATCCTAATTTTTAGAAAATCTAGAAGTGACCCAACCAAAGTATAACCGATAAAGATAATCCATAGACTTGGCAATTGTGCATAATATGGGAGACACTAAAATGTAAAGAGTTAGAGTGGATCACCTGAGTTCACAACAGGAAACTGGTGTGGATGGAGAGTACTCACCAATTTTTCTTAGTGACATCAGGAGAGTAGCTTGAAATCTCTGAATAGTCATAGTCAGATTCTACTTCTGGGTGGCTTTTCAGATCAGGAGCAACCCTCAGACCTGAGAGAAAACAAATGAGTGCTTAGAGGTTTAAAGCTAAGTTCAGAAGCAGAGAGTTTAGGTTTTGTTGCCATCTGCACCTTAAAGCTCCTCTCTCCCTGCTCTCATGCCACTCCCTGACCATCTGGAACATTTTTCTAGGATATGTCATCAAAATTGACCTGTGTTCAATCCCCAGGACTGCAAAAACAAAACAAAATCCTGACCTATGCTGGGACTCCAGGTCTTGCTCGATGCCAGGTCCCAGCTAGCATGTTGGATAAAATAACTCATGCAACTTCTCTCTGGTGATGGATATAAATAGTGGACAGAGATTAGAGACCTCTAGGTGAGGCAGGCCCAGCAGAAGCAGCATGCAATAGTTGGAAGAGCACTGCTAGTCCTGTCTGGGCTGCCCACTGATGTGGGCAGGAGGTGGAGGAATGAATTCTCACAATGTGGTAGGATTAGCTGTAGTAGGGCATCATCGTCTCAGAAGTAACCCATTTCTACATATTTTTCTTTTTTGTATTGGGGATGCACTCTGCCACTGAGCTACATCCCTAGTCCTTTATGAATTTTATTTTGTGACAGAGTCTTGCTAAGTTACTGAAGCTAGTCTCCAACTTGCCTCAGCCTTCTGAGTAGCTGGGATTATAGGCATGTGCCACTGTACCTGGCTTCTAAATTGTTACTGAGGGCAATTTACTGATGAGCTTTTCAAGAGTGAGGGCAACAAATGCAATTGTTTCTTTGGGCGACTATGTCTTCCATGACTAATCGATCATGGCCCTCTTGTCCTCTGAATCTTAATTCAGCTTCAAGTTCCTCAACATAACACATTCATGGTTGTCAAAGCATGGACTCTCAGCTAGCAACATCAGCATCACCTGGAAACTTGTTGGAAATGTAAATTTTTGAGACCTACACTGGACCTAGTGCATGAGAAGAAACCCTGGGGGTGAGCCTGGCTATCCCTGTTTTTTTTCCTTAATTTAATAAAGTAAAATGATGTATTTGTTTATTAATTTGTTCTGTCAGGCAGGCATGTTCATTTTTTTTCTAGAGCATTCGACCTACTAGTTTTTATTCTAATTTGTTATATATGACAGCAGAATGCATTACAATTCCTATTACATATATAGAGCACAACTTTTCATACCTCTAGTTGGATCCCTGTTTTTAATAAGCTTTCCAGGTGACCCCATCCCTGTTGAAGTGTAAGAGACAGTGTTCTCAGATCAATGATTCTTAATCCTGATATTTCATCAAAATCACCCAGGATGATTTTTAACATGTCTGAGCCCAACCACTAGAGATTCTTAAATTGACCTGGCTTTTGCTAATTGATATTAGTAAAAGCTCCCCAGATGATTTTTTTTTTTTTTGGCAGTACTGGGGATTAAACCCAATGGTGCTATTTTTAAGGCAAGATCTAATTTGCCCAGCCTGTCCTTGAACTTGCAATCCTTCTCTGCCTCCCAAGACACTGAGATTAGAACCATAGTTCTAAGTAGTCACTTCCAGTCAGTTGGGGTAGGAAAGAGAGTCTACACCTATTCACCATCCTAATTTTAGATAATCTAGAAGTGACTAAACCAAAGTATAAGCTGCAAAGAAAATCTATAGACTTGGCAATTGTGACATAATTTGTAATGTAAAAAAGTTGAATATTATCATGCTAGAACATATGAAATGAAGCATAGCAGAAGAAAAACATGTAGCAATCAATGGTTTGGGGTTGTCTGTTTTGGGAAACGTATACTCTGATTTTGAAGTGTTATTTTGGTTCCTTAAATCTAAATATCTCTGTGTAGAAGAAATGTAATCCCTTGAGCTATTAGTGGTAGATCAAGCCATCTGTTGTTGTTATTATTGCTTTAGACACCAAAAGGATAAAGAAAAAATGTTAATGGAACATTATTATGTTTTTATTATTATACTAAAAGCATTATAACCAGCAATGAAAACAAAATTGAAAAAAAAAAAAAAGAGAAAAGGCTAGAAATGCAGCCTCAGCCTTTCAGAATATCATTAGCTGATTCCCTACCTCCCCCTCCTGCCGTCTAATGATTGATAAACTCCAGTTAAAGCACCAGGCCGGTCTTCTTTCTCCCTCTTGATTGTTCAGCCTCAGCTCACTTGTTGTTGTGATAAGCAACATAAAAGCAAAAGCTGATTGAAGAGGAAAAAAAGAAGAGCCCACTTCAGGGACACAAATATTTTTGTTTCCTTATTAAGATGGAAAATTGCCCCAACTAATTTGTAACCTAGTTTTCTGGCCCAATTCAGTAGCACCAAGAGCTACCACTGATCAAAGCCCAAATGGTACTGCCCCTGTGGAAAGCTGAGACTGCAGGCTTTTGTCTGTACCTACTTCAATACCCTTAGTTAAAAAAGAAAAGAAAAATAGTGTTCAATAGCAATCCAAACAGGTAAAAAGCACAAAGAAAGCCCTTTTTGGTATGGGACTCTCCTTATGAGGGTGCCATGTTCAAGACCAGAAAAAGAGGAAGAAGCAACATCTTTACCTGGAGCTCAGAGAATACCCCCAGTTACTTGGTTTTCATTTCCAATAAAAACACATAGAATTTCTGTTCATGTAATTGAAGGGAAAACTTATTCCATGTTTCTTATTCATTTACACTTCAGTCATCAAAATATTGATTTTAAGAGTTATTTGAAGTACAAAAACCAAACAGAAAACTTACAGAATATTCTTCATAAAGCTTAGAGGAAGTCTGCGCCTCCATCCCCCAGCTTTGCCTGAAGAGCAGGGAGAGGGATTTAGGTCAGACTAAAAAGATAAACTTAAGTAAATTGAGATTATCAATCCATTGAGTTCAAAGCAGGATCCAAAAATTGTCAAGTACTTTTAAGTGTGTCCCGGTGACAGTTGGAATCACCTAGTGTCTCTCTGGAAAATTAATCACTGCACAAGGAGATTAGAGAAAGAGAGATATGGAGAAAGAAACAAAAGAAACAAGGTCACTTCTTTTAAGTGAATGGGTGGGGTTCAAGGACTTTGGCCAGCCACATGATTAAAAAATAAAACTATAACCTTAAATGGCAGAAATGTTCATAAAATGCCAAACTTGGGGAATGTCCAGCAGGGGCCATAGAGGCTTCTCCAGAGATGGGAAGGTTGATTGCTAAGATTTCTGGTTTCAAGAAGTAAAGCAAAATGGGGTGTAGAGTTCTCCAGAGGAGTTGGAGCCCTTCCAATATCTGATTGAGACTATAGAGATATATATTATACCTTAGAGCTTATAGAATAGAAGCTATTCATATTTTCCAGAAAAAAAATGAGCTGAGTCTTCACTAGACTGTTTTGAAATAAGACGGGCAAGTGTTTGTTTGGTGGTCAGGGGAAGAAAAGAAAACTCCCTTATCAGGGTTTGCAAATTCAAATGCTTTGGGATCCACCCAGGAAACCAGTTGGAGGATGGGGAGTGGGGAGGCCTGCAGTGAATGAGAGAATGCCCTTCCCACTTAAAGGTCCTCACCTGGGCAGAACCTCAGGAAGCTAAAAGAGAGACATGGGACAGAAGGTCCCCAGAGCTTCCAGTAAAACCAGCCTCACCAACACCTTCATTTTGGACTTCTAGTCTCCAGAACTGTGAGAGAATAACTTTCTGTTGTTTGAAGCTATAGAGTCTGTGATGATTTGCTATGGCTGCCCTAGGAAACTAGTGTGGGGACTGGGGTGGCATGACAGGTGTTAAGGACTAAAACTACTAGAAGAAAGAAACAGAAAAAAAAGATCAGGAATCTACATTCAACTTGATCTGGCTGCTGGGGAAGAAAAATTAGAGATAGGGAAAGCTCCATTTTTTTTAAACAAACATTAATGTATGGATGATTATGTTCTGCGTGTTGCCTTAACCCTTAACAAAAGTTAACTCATTTAAGCCTCAAAGTAACCCTAAAAGGTACAGAACACTATTATTCGCATTTTGCAGCTGAGAAAATTGAGGCAAAGGTGGATTAAATGACTTGCCCAGTGACACATAGCTGGAGAATGGCAGAATCAGGGTTCAAACTCACATACTTTTGCCCCAAAGTCTGAATCCCTAAATATTATATAGTGCAGCCCCACTTACTTAAACATTTGAAATTACCATCCCTACTTAATCCCTTCTCTCTCTCTCCCCCTCTCCCTCCCTCCCCTCCCCCACCCTCTCCTTCCCCTTAATATATGGAAGCAAAAATTCCGGCTTTCCCAAATTCTCTCATGTTCCTGGAGCTCTGAAGTTCCCACAGGTCAACAGCTGCAGGCAGAACTTCTGGCCTGGCCTAGTGTTTGGTGACCACCCAGAGGATAAGACCCAAGCACTGTTTCAGCTGGGACAGAGTCTTGGTAGGGTTCCCAGTTGGTGATCTGGGCTGAGTAAACTTTCCTGCCCCCCTAATGGCCCTGGCAGAGAAAGTGCATAAAGATGAGGCTCCAAAGCCCAGCCTTCCCCTTCTAACCACCGCTGGCAGATTTCATATGGAGCCAGGGTGGTTTCTGGTGGAAGTGACAGCTGGTCAGCAGCCATCCTATCAGAACATGAAGAGCCCAACTCGTGGGAGGTCTGACAGGCAAATGCCACCAAAAGCAACACCGAGAAAGTCAAATTCTTTTCTTGAAGAATAGGGTCTCGTGAACAATTTTTTTTCTTCCTACACCATATTTAAAATCCTGGCCTCTATCTCCAATACACAGGGCAAGTGCAATAATTTTCAGGCCTAGGAGAGCATTTTCCACTTTGATTCTCTAGTACTTAATTCCAGTTATTATCCCAGTTAAACGTTCACAGAGTTCAAAGAAAATCTTGCCTGATAATTGCTTTCCCCAACTTGGAAGTGAAGGAGGGAGGTTTCCCCTTACCCTAGGAATCAGTTTCCTGCTTGTCTGCGGAAGTTCCTTCACTCTGAACATTTAGGGGCTGTCGTTCCATTCACTGTATTCTCAGTCAGCCTCCAGCTGGATTTATTTTTTTGTAATTTATGCCCTGCCTGCTTCCAAAATGGGATTA